CTTGTCAACCACCTAGTCTGGTCAACCCCTTAGTCTGATCAACACTTTAGTCTGGTCAACCCGTTCGTCTTATCACCCATTTAGTCTAATCAACCCCTTGTCTTGTCATACTCTTAGTAGGCCTAATCTCTCCCCTCCCCTTCCTCCACACCCACCCCCTATTCTCGCCAACCCACTAATTTGTTGAACCTTTTAGTCAAGATGGCCAAGCCGATAAGAACTGAGACTGGATCCACCCACCTAGCTGACAGATGAAACTGGATCCACTAATCGTTGTGCGATGGGACTGGGTCTCACCCGTTCTCCATGTGATGAGGCTGGGTTCACCTGGTAAAGGTATGATCAGACTGGACCCACTCAGCTGCAATATGACTGTGAGAGTGTGTGGTCTCTGGGGAAACCTGCTGTCACTAAGCCGTGGTCCACAGAACCCACACTGACAACTCGACTACCCAGATTACCAGATTAAAAGTTAAAGTAAAGTAAAGGACCCTGTTCCACGTCTTTAGGCGTATAGGGCATATAGGGCTGGACCTATATTTTATAGACCAACGGCACAAGATGGGTGATGTGGTCAGCATAACGCCAGCCGCCTCCACTTCCCGGGACTGCACCCGGTACCCAATCAAGGCTGGATCGACCTGCGAGCCAATGTCATTTTTGAAGACAAGTCCGGGTCCGTCAGGGAGCGAACCCACGACCTTCCGATCTGCGGTGTGCCGATTACCAAAATACTTGACTACAAATGTGGATCTGTACCTTGGAGTGTGTGTTCTGTTTTTACAACATACTCGCGTGTGTTTTCGCTTGGTGGCTTGACAAGCATATGCAATGCTCTTTTCCACTTGTGCAAATTTACATGTTTGATTACAATCGTATACCGTTTTATTACTGGATAAGAGACTGTCGTGTAGTAATGGGTCAAATACGTGTGCAGCTTACTAAAGATATTGCAACTAGTGGGTTTTATTATGATCTATCTGGAAGGAGTTACAGGACGCCTCAAGTTTTTGTGTTGCTAAGAGCCATAATTATGCGTGTGTGTGTGTGTGTGTGTGCGTGTGTGTTTCAGGCGCCCCAAAACGTGTGTGTTGGTAAGAGCCATAAACGTGTGTGTGTGTCCAAGCGCCATAAAACTGTGCGTGTTCGGGTGTGTGTTCTGATCAGTGTTCTGACGCCAGAAAGCTGCTGTGTTGCCAGGCTCCACAAACTCGTGTCTGTCTAGGAGCCACAACCTCTTGTCTGTCCAGGCGCCACAACCTCTTGTCTGTCCAGGCCCCACAAACTCGTGTCTGTCTAGGTGCCCTTAACTCTTGTCTGTCCAGACACCACAAACTCTTGTCTGCCTAGGTGCCCTTAACTCTTGTCAGTCTAGGCATCACAAACTCTTGTGTGTCTAGGCGCCACAAACATTTGTCTGTCTATGTGCCATTAACTCGTGTCTGTCCAGGCGCCATTACCTCTTGTCTGTCCAGGCACTACAACCTCTTGTGTTTCCATGCGCCACAAACTCTTGTCTGTCCAGGTGCCATCAACTCTTGTCTGTCCAGGCACCACAAACTCTCGTGTGTCTAGGTGCCATCAACTCTTGTCAGTCCAGGCACCACAAACTCTTGTGTGTCTAGGTGCCTTTAACTCTTGTCAGTCCATGCACCACAAACTCTTGTGTGTCTAGGTGCCATCAACTCTTGTCTGTCCAGGCGCCATCAACTCTTGTCTGTCCAGGTGCCATCAACTCTTGTCTGTCCAGGTGCCATCAACTTTTGTCTGTCCAGGCGCCACAAACTCTTGTCTGTCTAGGTGCCATCAACTCTTGTCTGTCCAGGCGCCACAAACTCTTGTCTGTCTAGGTTTCATTACCTCTTGTCTGTCCAGGCAACACTAACTCTTGTCTGTCCAGGCGTCATCAGCTCTTGTCTGTCCAGGCACCACAAACTCTTGTCTGTCTAGGCACTACAAACTCTTGTCTGTCCAGGCGCCATAAACCCTTGTCTGTCTAGGTGCAATCAACTCTTGACTATCCAGGCGCCACAAACTTTTGTTTGTCCAAATGCTACAAACCCGTGTCTGCCCAGGTGCCATCAACCCTTGTCTCTCCAAGCGCCATCCGTTTGTCGCAATAAGATCGTGGCATCTAGTCTAGAAATCAAAACAGCCACCTCGGCAAACAGCAATTTAGTCAACATGTATAGTCCGCTCCAGAAATCTTGCCCAACTTTACAAATCTGTAACACAACAACCGTTCACTGTAGCTTGTTGAATTTTGGACACACAAACTGGTAATAATCATGTTTTTGCAAGTAAAAAAAAAATATTTTTTATGCATACAAGCATTTAGTTTTCCGTTTGAATTTTTTGCGATGTATGAAAAAACAGACACCGATTCAAAGGAAAAAGTCAGCATGCCTGGTAACTGGAACTTTTCAAAAACAGCATATTGCACGCGTTTCACAGGCACCTAATACTTAGGTGGTCATCTCCAGCATTAGCCTCCCGTAAGTTGTTGATTTTTCATTGAATCAAAATAATCACCACACATCCCTGGATTTGTTATCTGATTTCCAAACAATCTCTACGCGTGTGTCACTTACTTTATGTTTCTTTAAAAAAAAAAAAAATTATGATTACACAAATTATTAGTGAAACGAAGATCAGAGAAATTCGCCGCTCTAAGAAAACAGAAGCATCCGTGCAATTGTACATTACAAAGCTATAAAGACGTGGGCAATCTGAGGCAACATAAAAAATTCGCGTTGACTCGTACAAGCGTTTGCGAGATAGTTGTTAAAATGTGAGGGCACACTTTTTGAAACGCACCATAATGAACACTGAAAGGTCACTGACACGGCTTGATGCGGCATCTGTCCGCTAAATCCAGTTCAGAAATTGGCGATACATAATTCAAGACAGCCATCACCCCAGTCAAAGTAGTAGCTAACAGGATTAACACCGGCACACTGATGGTGGCTGAAGCGGTTGGCCGAACGGTTATAACGCTGGGCTGTCAAGAGAAAGAGAGACCCGGGTTCGAATCCTCGGTAAGGCTGGGGATTTTTCTTTTTGTCGGGGGCCAAATAAAATCCTCACCTGTACAGTCGTGGCGACAGCACTAGCCACGCGGCCCTAAATTCTCAAGGCTTAAAGACCTCTCTGCCTACACCGCAAAAGTGGTATAGTAAAGGCGGTAATTGGCAGAGCGGTGATGGCTGGAGGCGCACAGTTCCAGTGTCAGCACGTGTCAGTATACTCACACACATAATATCCGCACATGATAACATATTCTACTGTACTTCCACACCTAATGTTGTTACTTTCTAGTGTATTCACACACCGAACGCCATCATCACTCCACGCAGATTAGTGTGCATATAGATAATAGAACCATTCAGTCCATAAGTGCGCAGATCCCCTCTGCAGTATACCCTTCAGCCAGGGTAATATTTACACTTTCTGGTCTTAAGCTATATAATTAAATGACGCCAACTTATCTCAGAAAACTAAAATACAAAAGCCTTTAAATATCCGGATAATGAAATTATATCCTTGTTGTTGTTTTTATTAAAGAGATAATAAAGAATGTGTTTATCAATTTATTGCCTAGCATATTTTGTTGTATCTCGTCAGGTGCATTACTACAGAATTAAATCAACATATACACAATGTGGTTTATGCAACTCGACAATGTGGTTTAAACATTTCAGCAAGAAAATTATTAATTTTGGGCTTCGTTATACGAGAATGCTGATTAAGCACTGTAGTAGAGCACCTGCCGAGAAAAAGCGAAATAAAGAATGTGTTTGCCGAATCACATACATTATGTTATAGTCCTCTAAAACAGAAGTTCTCAAACTGGGTGCTGCGGCATGTGTGTACAGCTGATTCTCAAGCTAGCGGGATACAGCAGAGACTGCCTCCACCTCCATTCTCAAACTAGACATTGTAATATATCACCCACCTAGTGCCCATTGATATATAAAATATAGGTGTAGCACTAGATGCCACATGCCCCTAAAGGCGTGGAAGATAGTCCTTTATGTTACTTTTACAGTTGCATGCCCTGGTATAAAACTGCAACTGGACTTTGTAAACATTAACCGCCTAGTAGAGAAGACTACTGAGTCAGTCAAGATCTCGCTCAATGGGTAGTCACTCGTGTCGCCACATCTAACATGCCACGCTAATGCCATTCCTTACCAGACATCTGTGTATGTTTTCAGCGTCAACACGTTTATCAATGCCACGCTGACGCTATTCCTTACCAGACATCTGTGTATGTTTTCAGTGTCAACACGTCTATCAATGCCACGCTGACGCCATTCCTTACCAGACATCTGTGTATGTTTTCAGCGTCAACGCGTCTATCAATGCCACGCTGACGCCATTCCTTACCAGACATCTGTGTATGTTTTCAGCGTAACCGCGTCCATCAGTTCCACGCTGACGCCATTCCTTACCAGACATCTGTGTATGTTTTCAGCGTCAACACGTCTATCAATGCCACGCTGACGCCATTCCTTACCAGACATCTGTGTATGTTTTCAGTGTCAACACGTCTATCAATGCCACGCTGACGCCATTCCTTACCAGACATCTGTGTATGTTTTCAGCGTCAACACGTCTATCAATGCCACGCAGACGCCATTCCTTACCAGACATCTGTGTATGTTTTCAGCGTAACCGCGTCCATCAGTTCCACGCTGACGCCATTCCTTACCAGACATCTGTGTATGTTTTCAGCGTCAACACGTCTATCAATGCCACGCTGACGCCATTCCTTACCAGACATCTGTGTATGTTTTCAGTGTCAACACGTCTATCAATACCACGCTGACGCCATTCCTTACCAGACATCTGTGTATGTTTTCAGCGTAACCGCGTCCATCAGTTTCACGCTGACGCCATTTCTTACCAGACATCTGTGTATGTTTTCAGCGTCAACACGTCCAGCAGTGACGCGCTGAGGCCACTCTCACGAGACGAAACTCATCAATGTCGTTGCTATGTCGATGTTGATCAGAACCGGGACTTTGGTCCGCAAGAATACCCGGAAGTCCTCTGTGCGCAGGACCAAATCTGTTGGGAGTACAACATCCGGTGGCCATGTTCGTGCTTCTGATGACGGAGACGGGCAGTCGATGTCCTCAGTGCCGCCATCGCCTGTTGCCAAGTTGCATCACCTCTACACCGACCACAGCAACAACAGTTCTCCAGGCAAGTCTAGCCTGGCCACAACTACAAGTACCATAGTGGTGAGTTCTGCCTCTGTTATTTCATAGTGGTACGTCATGCGATGTTGTGATATCACCTATTGTTAGTTAATCTTTCCATTTGGGTCTAGGGCGGCACATAGGGCAAGGTCATAGCTCTCCGTGTCTGGCGGTTTGTTGCTATCTGATTTAGGTCTTGGATATTTGTTAGGTCCATGGTTGAGCCTTTTTTGATAATGGTTCTACGTAGAGTCTCTCTTTGTTTTCCGAGTAAAACTTCCACCTCCCCCCCCCCCCCCCCCCGTCTTTTTTTTTCTCCCCCTTTGGTGTCCATGTGAAGGCTTGATGGCGAAGTCTTGTCTTGTCCATTCTGAGTGCATGACCGATATAGTGCCATAGGCGTTTCTTTTAAATTTGAAACATTACCGTGTTTAGTCTCTTGCCTTATTTGTGTACTGGAACTGAAATCTGTCCAGTGGAGATATAGTATTCTTCTAAGACATTTTTGTTCTCTTTCACTTGCTTTATGATTACATCACTTGCAAACCTTTTGCATTTCAGTCATAAAATAATCATCACTTGCTGGTTTATTATTTGCTAATGAGTTGACTGCACTCCTGATTTCAAACTTATTTGTGTGTCCTACGTGAATTTATTTACTTACTTTATTTGCAATCCATTTTGTTTTTTAAATCTAGAGCTACCGTTGCTTTCTTACTCTCAGAAGAAGAATATGCTTCCTATTTAAAGTTCATGCCGTGTGGTGTTGGGTTTGTAATCATGGCTATCCACAATCTTTTTATCTCGTGTACTTTTAGTAAAAACTGACACAGACGCTCTTCGTGTTATGATGTTAAATTATCCAGCATCTTCTTTCTCGGTCTCCTGCTTCGCTTCCCGTCCTTCTTTCCTACTGTCACGATGCACTCCCGTTTTCTCCTTCTCATCACATGACCGAAGAAGGTAGATTTTTTTTAATGATGTGGGCAATCAGTTCTCTTCGTAACTAAGTTTCTTTCAAGACATCTTCGTTACTATATTTTAAAAAAAAATTTCAGGGTATTTTCATCATTCGTCTATAAAGCTATATCTCAACAGCTTTAAATAAATGAGCATCAGTACTTCAAGTCATCTCCTTGTGAGATGCAATATTTCTTTATTTTGAAGCTCCATACTGGCTCTTGCCAGGGGCCACAATATAGCCCGACCATAAATATGGTCTAATCGCTGAACACGGTTTCCTGACCTCTCCATGGATGATCCTCATCCACATGGTGGCACTTTGTGTCATCGGGTGTTTATCGCTTGTTTGATGTCCTAGTGGGGTAAAAATCTATTACTACTACTGCTTCTAAATAATTTTTCCTGAAACTACCAACTGTCTGTGAGTTATTTCCACATATCAGGATGTAAATTATGTGGCTTTCAATAATTATCTTTTTTCGTCTCAATTGAAAAAGAAAGATTGCATAGAATATTTTCCATTAGGTAAAATTATGCCTTTGTTTGCGCTAGTCTACATGTAACATCTTCCATCTGATGTTATCGGGGTGCGGATGTAACGGATGTACTTAAATGTATCAATTTGCATAAGTATTGTCCCACTCGCGTTGATTCTGCAATTCAAGTGGTCCATTTTCTTGTTTAGTTACCATAACTTCAGTTATTCTGCTATTCAAACTAAGAATATGCTATATAGCAAGTGATAGTCTCCAATATATCATACGTACAATGAATGACATGGCATGAAATTCGCTCCAAAAGAAAGCAGACCTAGTTAATGTGCTGTCTTTAAATGTAATTTAGACTTAGTTCTGTGCCGACTTTTTTCCTTTCGACACCATTTGACTGTAATGCTCTTCCTTTAGCTCTTCGACTGCTGTTGTACGCCTTTATCTTACTGACTGTTGTAATACTCCTTTGTCTCGATGACTATTGTAATACTCCTTTGTCTCCATGACTATTGTAATACACCTTTGTCTCCTTGACTTTGTAATACACCTTTGTCTCCATGACTATTGTAATACACCTTTGTCTCCATGACTATTGTAATACACCTTTGTCTCCATGACTATTGTAATACACCTTTGTCTCCATGACTATTGTAATACACCTTTGTCTCCATGACTATTGTAATACACCTTTGTCTCCATGACTATTGTAATACACCTTTGTCTCCATGACTATTGTAATACACCTTTGTCTCCTTGACTATTGTAATACTCCTTTGTCTCCATGACTATTGTAATACTCCTTTGTCTCCATGACTATTGTAATACTCCTTTGTCTCCATGACTATTGTAAGACCCCTTTATCTCCTTGACTATTGTGATACGGTCTTATCTCCCAAATTCGTAAAAGTAACAAAACTAAGTCGGCTCTGTGGCTAAGCCGATGCGAACGCTTCGTAATGCCGGGATGCCGGGTTCGCTCCCAGCTGCGGGCTATGCGCCTTGCGTTGGTTTCGACAGTGCTATCAAGAAAGCCGACCGTCCAGTTGCATTAGCAAACTACTGGACGTCAATTTGCCTAGAAAAACCACACAACACCGGGTTGGCTCTGCAACGTCCTGTAAAGGATACGCAACTAACCTTTAACAAAACTAAAGTTATGGTTAAATCCTTCACACCTTTGTAAGTCTGTTATCCTCCTGTGGCCGGCACACAAACAAGCAGACTGTGGCACTGAAACAACAGCTCGAGCACAAGGACACCCTCAACTCTTTGGCCTGGACACAACAACTAAAGAGGTTACTGGAATCTCACCGATCTTCGTCAGTGACAGTCTCAATCGTCTTACTGCAACCCACTAGGGACAGACCACAAACATCAAAGGGAAAAAAAAAGGGGGGGGGGGGGGGGGACATTTCTTTACCGCTGTAATGTGATTAGAGGGCGAGCGCTGTTGAAATCAGAGGGGCGCCACAGATAACACTTGGAGAGAGACACTTAATGGAGGTTGTAGCAGTCAGTCATGGGCAGTAACCCAGTTAACTTCATTGGTTAAGATTCCCTCTCTCTCTCTCTCTCTCTCTCTCTCTCTCTCTCTCTCTCTCTCTCTCTCGCTCTAGAGCAGTGTTTCCTAAACGGTTTTTTTTTTTAGAAAAAAAAAAAAAAAGGGGGGGGGGGGGGCTTTTTAGTGAAACAATCACCCACCCTACACCTTAGCCCCCTCCCCACAAAGAAAAACTGCCTAGAAATATCATCATGCTAGTTCGTCTTTCCTCTTGAGCCTAGGGCGGCGCATAGGGCGGAGGTCATAACTCTCCATGTCTGACGGTTTGTTGTCACCTGCTTGACGTCTTGGATCTTCATTAAGCCCATGGTTGAGCATTCCCTGATGAAAGATCTCTCTCTTGATCTTCCCCGATTTCTTATTCCTTCCGGTGCCCATATGAGGGCCTGGATGTGGAGATCTGGTCTTGTCCATTCTGAGTGCATGGCCAGTGTAGTTTGGGCTAAGGGGACGGGAAGTATTTCCTTGTATCCATTAGTGTAGCTTGTAGCCTATATGTCCAGTGATGAATGTTCGTGTATTTGTCAGTCTCTTCTTCTTCTTCTTCGATCCTTCTGTCAGAAAACTTATATCAGGAGGCCGGTAGCCCTTATGAAAGCTATCGAGCAATCCATATCCTCTTGTGTACCATACAGTTTTGTCTTCACTGTGGTTGGAACAGGCCAGATTGCGTCTCTGTTGTCAGCATACAGTTGACAGTGTTGGAGCACATGCTCAGCATTTTCGGGTGCCACGCTGCAGGGACACGTCTCCGTATTTCCTACACCGAAAATTTTGAACATATGTTGACGAAATCTGTTGTGCCCAGTCCTTGGTCTGAATAGAATGCACTGTCCCTCTCTAGATAGGCGATGAAGTGAGTCTTGGGGAGAAAATCTGGCGTGTGAAGCCAGTAGCCTACATGTTCAGTGATAAACGTTCATGTGCCTGTCAGTGTAGCTAGTAGCCAACTGTCTAGTGACGAATATAATTGTGTTCTTTAGTGTAGCTAGTAGCCTTATTGTCCAGTGACGAATGTCCATGTGCCCGTCAGTGTAGTCAGTAGCCTAACTGTCCAGTGACGAATGTCCATGTGCCCGTCAGTGTAGTCAGTAGCCTAACTGTCCAATAATGAATGTCCTTGTGTCCTTGGGTGTAGCTATCAGTCCAACTATTCAGTGATGAATGCCCGTGTGTCCGTCAGTGTAGCTAGTGGCCTAACTGTCCAGTAACAAATGCCCGTGTGTCTGTTAGTTTAGCTATTAGCTTATCTGTCCAGTTACGAATGTCCTTGTATCCTTCAGTGTAGCCAGTAGCCTAATTGTCTAGTGATAAATCTTTATGTGTTCGTCAGTGTAGCCAGCAGCCTATCTGTCCAGTGATAAATCTGTATGTGTTCGTCAGTGTAGCCAATAGCCTAACTGTCCAGTGATAAATGTTTATGTGTTCGTCAGTGTAGCCAGTAGCATATCTGTCAAGTGATAAATCTTTGTGTGTTCGTCAGTGTAGCCAGTAGCCTAACTGTCCAGTGATAAATATGTATGTGTTCGTCAATGTAGCCAGTAGTCTATCTGTCCAGTGATAAATGTTCATGTGTCAGTCAGTGTAGCCAGTAGCTTATCTGTCAAAAGATAAGTGTTGATGTGCCGTCATTGTAGCTAGTAGCCTAACTGTCCAGTGATGAATGTCCTTTTGTCCGTCAGTGTAGCCAGAAGCCCATTGTCCAGCGATGTATGTCCGTGTGTCCGTCAGTGTAGCTAGAAGCCTAACTGTTCAGTAATGAATGTCCGTGTGTCCTTGAGTGTATCCAGTAGCCATACCTCTAACTCCCAAGAAATGGATTTCAGTCTTTAGACGACAACCGCCTGACCTACAAGATTTCACTGGACAAGAACTTCCCTGCAAGCTCCAATAGCCAGAGCACCAGTTTGCAGATAGTGGAGGCTAATGTGGAGGCTGACAACGTCTGCCAGTTCTTGTGTACAGCCGCGCAGATCATCTGCAGCAGCAGTAAGTACTAAGTGTGTAGGTTCAATTAGACTTGTCGTGTCTGTCACACAGTGCATGTCAGGGATCAAATGTGAAGCTCCCCGTGTGGGTTCCTGGGCCCTATTATAAGGGGAAAAACAGAATAGACCCACTGCCTACCCAAAAGCATGTCGTTAAAGTCGACTAATTGGAGCTACCTTCGCAGTCAAAGTGCATCCGCCTTGAGGGGCAAGGAACCAGCAGTCTGCATACGATGAGTCAGATTTGTAAAACGGATGCACACAAAACACTCAGGTTCTAGAACAGGGCTGCAGTCCAAACGTGGATGAACAACTAAAACTTTCCGCCAGAGTTTACAGCTGGTGAACATGAAGAAGAACGAACGAACGAACGAATTTTTTTCCAAAGGGTCACAAATTGGGCACGCAGGCCCGTTTTACATTCGGCCCTTCTAAACACCCGTCTTTCACACTGCAGCTGTATTTTATCTATAAGCAAGTTATATTCATATGATAATATGCATATTATGAATATCAAAAAGGAGAGAAAAAAAAGAAAAAGCACAAAAGCATGGGTGGTAAAATGGATGCACACACACACACACACACATACCCACCCACTCACTCAAACACACCCACATACCTTCACACACACACACACATAAACACACTCTATTCACCCAAATGTGACAGATGATAGGTAACTGAGACCAAAAGTTACACACTTATGTCTACAAACCAATTACTTAAATCCCGTCAATAATGTTAAACTAAATGATCACAGAAACATCTACTGCATACACAAAAGTAACAAATTGAGCCAGGAATTGTTTCCCCTGCTTTGCTCTTTCGTTTGATTTCACTTAGCCATGTTCAACCTCTGAATAAGGAGTTAGTTAGCCTCGTGTTGTCAATGTTGGTTATAATTATATCAACTCATTGTGTAGATATTTCATTGCATAGTGTTTTGTGCTTATATTTTATATCTTTTATCTGGCCGGCCGGGTCATGACTGTCTCACTGTGCATGTGTGGATCTGATAAGGTCACGTGTTCCTTATTGTGCCATCCATTGGTTGTGTTACTGCCACTGAGTGAGCTGTCTTCTGAGCTAATCATGGGGATATTGCTGTACCAGTTCTTCGTGATTTTGTCCATTTTCTGGGATTCTCATTCACTGACACGGACCATCAGGTCGACCAGACTTATTGATATGAATCCAGAAATATCTTTGGGAGTAAAGGCGACGAGTCAGATATTCACAAGGCAAATGCTGTCACCTACCAGTTAGCCCCACTGCTTAGACACCCAAATGTAACCTTCCACACACACACACACAAAACCGAAAATGATTAATAGAATCGTTATCCCGATTTTATGTTATCAGTGCCAAACATGGACAATGAATAGGGCACTAGAACAGAAAATAACTACATGTGAAAAGCGCTGTCTCCGCAAGGTCACAAACAACACTAGAGAAGACAGGGTTGCGAATACCAGCGTTAGAGAACATGTTGGAATAAGACCAATTTTGCATTATATTGGCAGACAAAGAATTAAACTGTTCAGCCATCTAGTAAGAATGCAGACAGACCAGACTGCATATGAGACTTGTTACAGCAGAACATCTGGGAGGAAGGCGAGAGGAAGACCAAGAAAGATATAGATAAAGAGTGTAGATGAAACCTGCAAAAAGATGAACAAATCCATCACTCAAGCCATCAGAGAAGCGCTTGTATCAGAGACGACAAAAGAAGAAGAAAGACCCATTAGGTAATCATCATCATCATAAACCACTTATGCCGTTAAGCGGCTTGGGGAGGAATAATTTGCGATCCAGTGCATGTTGGCTGCCACTAGCTATTGTCATGCCGTGAAGGCGTAAAGTGTCTTTAATGTTGTCTATTCATGTTTTCCGCGGCCGTCCTCTTGCTTTTGTAGCCGATCTTCTGAGATGTAGTGCTGGTGATGGTATTTTATCTTGCGGCATCCTAACAAGATGGCCAAACCACTTGATCTGCTGTTTCTCGATGAATCTAGTACAAGGTGTTTGCCTGATAGTTTCATTATTCACTCGCATTAGGTAATTATTAGTCTTAATAATATAAGCCAACCAGTTGGACTCAGTTCACGTCTTCGTACCATAGCGGGTTTCTTCACACGTCTGTCTTTATGCCCTTCATTCTTTTCCCTATTGATTGCCCCATGTCTGCCTCAGGCTCAAGGTTATTTTAACAACAACCTCCGGTATCCACAATTTACCTGACGCGAGCATACAACTTGAAACAGATCGATACTTTTTAATTAATCGATAGCTCACCTTGGATCAATCATTCGATTATATGCATACAGAATAGTTGCAGTGGAAACTCCGTGGGACGTTTGTTATTAAATCAAGAGAAATGATTCTGATACGATCGGTGCGTCCATAGACCTTTGATTTTAATTAGTACCTTTCCGTTTTTCCAAACCATAGTGTGGTATTGCGTTATAATTAGGCATGGGACTCACAGCCCACGGCGATGGCGAGTGTGACTAGAAAAACCCGCCCGCGCAAAAAAAAAGTCTTTCACAATTGTAGCATGGGATTTCAATCAATCAGGTGCCGTCTCTACAATGAAGGTTGGCTGCAATGGATCTCCAACAAGCCCTGTCTCTTGCCCTTGATGTACACTCACTCATACTGCTGTTCGTCCATCTCTTGATGTTATCCTCCCACTTGTAACGCTGTCTGCCTTTTGTTCGCCTGCCTTGAACCTTTCCCTCTAGGATGATCTTTACAATACTGTTATGTCTTTTAATGTGACCAAAATATTTCACTTGTCTCTTTTTTATTTTACCTAGCAACTCTCTTTTCATTTCCAATTTCCTCAGTAGCTTTTGTTCCATGAAATACGACCTAATCTTCTGTATATCCGCATCTCCAAAGAATTGATACGATTTTCCACTTGTTTGTTCATTGTCTATGTCTGGGGATTTCAGGACCATCCTATTTGCTGGGGGCTGCCCAGCTTGAGGCGGGCTGTAGTTGATCAGTGACATTCAAAGATGTCTCCCACCGTCAGAGGCAGCCCGTGGCGCTCTCATCTGCCGCAGTTGACAAGCCTATTACTAGTATAATGCTTACTTAACTTAGTCGCTCCACTTCTACCTTGGGGTGTAGAGGTTTGCCTGTGAGACCGCCAGACGTCCTCTGTCATTTAGGGACTGTCGAATGTTGTCTTCTCAGCGAACGATGGGTCGCTCTGGAAGCCTGGTTCCATGGTTCTTAGCCTCCCATGCCTGCAATGGTGGCCGATTTCCTACCATTCTGCATACATGCCCAAACCACCGTAACTGTGACTGATTCACTCGGGTTTGTAAGGACTGGGTATCAAGATCTTGACGTATTGTCTGACTGCGGACTGTCCCTTCTTGTCACTTGGACCACCTTGCTCAGATATCGCATTTCTGAGGCCTGAAGCTGGCTTCTGTGAGCAGTTGTCATTGCCCATGACTCACACTTATAGATCAGGACTGGTACATAGGTAGAGCAGTAAACAGCCATTTAAAAAAAGAAAATGTTCTATAATGCTACAGACTGCAATGCTGGGAAAAGAAGCGGGAAAAAAGGAGGAAGTGTGTGTGTGTGTGTCGAAAAAGGCTGCTCTATGTTTCTTCTAATTAAAGAGATTACCCTACCCCAACATTAGAAGTAATGTCGTTAGGAAGGAAGATCCCGAATCTAAATATAGCAGTAGAGTACAAAGGCATTAAACAGACTTCTAAGTTTTGATATCCGTGAACAGCATTCATAGAGGATGATAAATTAGATGAAGAAAATTAATATCCGATGCAGTAAAACAAATCAAGTATTGAAACAGCTACACCCCCCCCCCCCCCCCCCCCCATCTTACAACACGAGCTAATCCCAGACAGCACAAGGAACAAGACATCTCATACAAGGCATATTAATTTCACTCCTATGCTATCAGTGCTAGACGACATCACTTACAACAAATCCCAAAAGATAAATAGTAACCATGAAAATTAAATGTCTGAGAGCGGTGGAATCAGTGACTAGAAGAAAATAAAACCAGGAATGGGGTCATAAAAGAACAAGCCAGAACAAAAACAAGTTTGATTTTCATACAAAAAACAGAGTTCAAAACGAGAACATTGGAGCAATTGTGGGAACCACACCATGCCTGCAATACATAAAGAAGCAACAAATGGAGTGGTTTGGCCACTTGATGCGAATGCAAACCGACCAACTGCCTCTACCAGCATACAACGAACAGCACTACTGCCCTAGAGCAAGAGGCAGACCGAGAGTACGATGGATAGACAATATATCAGAGATCCTGAGGCAACACGGACTAACAACAACACGTGCAACACGTGGCCCAGGATAGAAAACTGCGACTCCCCACTACGCTGTGAGGCAATTGTGGACAAGACAAGACAAGACAAGACAAAAACAGCAAATCAGATAGTTCGCACACTTAGAGAGAGAGAGTGCATACACGAAAAGAGGAGAAGGATGTAGATCACGAGGTAGACCCAGAAAACAATGGAACGAAAACATCAGAGAAAATATGCAACCAGGTATTTACCTAGTAGAGTAATCACCCAATCTGATTTATATCCCAGTATTCAGTAAGTCAAGCAATCACCCAATCTGATTTATCTCCCAGTATTCACTCAGTCGAGTAACACTCACTCTGATTTATCTCCCAGTATTCACTCAGTCGAGTAACACTAACTCTGATTTATCTCCCAGTATTCACTTAGTCGAGTAACACTCACTCTGGTTTATGTCCCAGTATTCACTTAGTCGAGTAAAACTCACTCTGGTTTATGTCCCAGTATTCACTTAGTCGAGTAACACTCACTCTGGTTTATGTCCCAGTATTCACTTAGTCGAGTAAAACTCACTCTGGTTTATGTCCCAGTATTCACTCAGTCGAGTAACACTCACTCTGGTTTATGTCCCAGTATTCACTCAGTCGAGTAACACTCACTCTGGTTTATGTCCCAGTATTCACTCAGTCG